TTTTTTTTTCTTTTCCCAAGAAGGAGTAAAAAGGGAGTGTTGGAAACTTAACATTTAAACAGGATTAAAGCCCTGAGCGCTTAAGGGGAAAACAGGTTAAGGAACTTAATCCAGGATGGATCTGCAGGAGCCCCAGCAGCTGGGAATGTTCGCGGAGGGCGAGCTGATGTCGGTGGGGATGGACACGTTCATCCACCGCATCGACTCCACCGAGGTCATTTACCAGCCCCGGCGCAAGCGGGCCAAGCTCATCGGCAAGTACCTCATGGGAGACCTGCTGGGGGAGGGCTCCTACGGCAAAGTCAAGGAGATGCTGGACTCGGAGACCCTGTGCAGGAGGGCTGTGAAGATCCTGAAGAAGAAGAAGCTGCGCCGGATCCCCAACGGGGAGGCCAACGTGAAAAAGTGAGTGAGCAGGCCTGGGAGCTGGGGGGGTCAACCTGGGGCTTGTTTTGAGCTCCTGTGTCACTTTAGCTGATCTGGTGGGGAGAAGGGCTTCCTGAGCCGTGGCTTCCTGCCGTGGAAGTGCTTCCTAAGCCATAGGTGTTCAGGAATCTTCCTCCCAAACAGCGCCCAGCGCTCTGGGTGAGGCTGGCACAGGGAAAGGGGCGGGCTCCTGAGGGCCAGGGCTGTCTGGAACACACCACTTTGGTGTTGCTTAATGGATTAAATAGTGTTTCCTAAAGCAATCCCTCTCTAAGGTGTCACCTTGCCCAGGTGCTGCTGCCTGGGAAAGGTGAGGGGGCACAAACGCACCTGGTGCAGGCACAGTCGGGGTTATTGCACACAATTGTGTGTGGCCCTGGAGCTCTCTGGGGTGGCAGCTCCTGCTCCCCGCCCTGTGGAAGGTGATCCAATGTATGGGGCACCCCATGGGCACAGGAAGTTTTGAGGTTTTCCCCTGGTTTCGTTTCTGAGGTGTCTGGGACACATTCGAGGCTCTCCCCAGCTGATTTCTGATGCTGTGAAACAAGGCCAAGGGCTGTTGACCTCTGTGGTGTCAGTGACTCCAGAGCTGTGCTCAGGAAGCTCCCACACCCTGGTTACTCCGGGCACAAGGACCTTGTGGAAGGGAGCCCTGGGAGGGGCCGGGGCCGTGGGGCTGCTGAGGGAGCTTTCCCTTCCAGGACCTCGCAGCAGCTGCGTCCCAGCCCTGCCAGGAGCTGCTTATCTGCCGTGCAGGAGCCTCTGCAGCCCAAACAACCCGGCCAGGGTTTATCTGGGCTGGGAGGGAGGACTGAGAGCTTCGAGCTGCCCAGCTAGGGGTGAACCCTGAGCTGGCAGAGTCCCGTGTGTGTCTCTCACCCAGGGCTGAGTTTCCCAGGTCAGCTCTGGGATATTTCACATCCTGTCCCAGCACTGCTGTCAAGGAGCTCTTGCTTTGCCTTCCAACCTTCCTTGACAGCCTTGGCTGTGGAACAGTCACATCCCGAGGCCGGGACCTCCCTGTCTCTGCCTTCCTGGCTCAGGTTCAGGATCAGAGCGAGCTTCGTTAATGTGTAATAAAATGTTTCTTGTTTTTCTGGTAGAGGCTGAGTGCCCCTGTCCCTCCATGGGCACATCCAGAGCTGCCACTGAGGAACAGGGAGATCGCTTCCTCCTTGGGGAAACTTTTAATGTAAATTAGATAAAAAGAACTTGCCCAGACCAGGAGAGTTCCCTGCTCCGAGCCATGGGAACTCTCCTGCGTCCTGAGGTGAACTCCGTGGAAGTTTTATTCATGCCCAGAGCGGGGCTGTGAGTGTCAGGGGGGTCATTAAGGGGGTTATTAAGCAGACTAGCCAAGCCCCTCCCTGGTTTGGACGTTTTCTGGCTCAGCCCCACCTGCTCCAAAACACCAAGGCAGATTTTAGGTGTTGTCTTGTACCCAGGGTTGACTTTAGCTCAAGTTCCCGTTTCTGTCCCCTCGTGCTTTCCTCTCTGCCCACCCATTTGTAATCTTTGTCTGCTGCTTCAGTGGGGAATTTTAAGGCAAACTGTTGTATTTTTGGGCCCCTGGGCCTGTGGCCCTCTGAGCTTATCAGACCCTTCAGCTCAGGGAGTGAAAGGATGTTGAGGGTTTAAGCTTGTAAGACACAGGTTTCCTTAAATCCACCGAGGGAATTTTCATTTCTCTTCAGTTGCTCCAGGTGAAGTGGAGGTGGCTCAGTCAGGCAGACGGTGCTGGGGCTGATCCCTTCAAAAAAAAGAGTTTAGTGGGATTGCTGAAAAGAGGAAGGAAAACTTGGCAGGCTGTGTGTGCAGCAGCAGAGGTTTAATAACGCCATGTGCTAATAACCTCACACGTTAATTAAGTGTCTGGGGCCCTGTGGGATCCCAGGTGCCCTGTGCTGTACTTACCACCTCGGTGACTGCTCGGGTTGGAAAATGCACTCCCTGCAGTCCCTCGCAGGGGTCGTGGGGCGGTGCTGTCACAGCTTGTTCCTGGGGTCTGCAGGGCCAGCTCTGCTGGGCACGGCCTTGCTGGGAGCCCCAGAGCTGTGGGCTCAGGGGGGGCTGCAGCTGATCCCTGTCCCCCCTGCCCGGCACGGGTGCCCTTTGGAGCCGCCTGGCTCGGGGATCCTCTGCTGGGCAGGGTGTTTGCTTGGCCTGGGAGGGGAAACGCTGGGAGCTGTGATCCGTGGGAGAGCACAGGTAGCTGTGTTGTGATGGATGTACAGCCTGGAATGCCAGACATCCCTGCAGGAGTGGGATGTGGACGGAGCCCTGGGACTGGAAAAGAGAAAAAGCAACACCAAAGTCCTCCTTGTGCAGTCCTGAAGCAGGTGCCTGCTCTTAAGCTTTTAGGACTTTATTGGAGGAGCCTCGTGAACCAAAGGAAGGGAATGAATCTTTTGGCTGTGTGGCTGGGTTTTGTTTAAGCAGAATGGCTGTGACACCAGGGACAAGCTGTAGGAGCTGGATCTTGGTGGAGGTGTCCAGGAGGGAACTTCTTTCCAGGCTGTCCTTGGCAACTTCCAGAATGGTGTGGCAGTGGAGCAAGTAGGCAGCTTTGCTATATACAGTTCTGAGCAACAACAATCCCCAGTTATGTGCCAGTGCAGGTACCTTGCAGGGGATAAGTCTTAATCTACCAGGATGAGCTTAATGGATCTGACAGAGCTCGAGTTAGAAGGTCTTTTCCCTCCTCGTCTTCCTCCAAGGAGGCTGCACTTGGAAGCAGGCCCTGCCCTCTGGCAGCCTGTCTGGTCACACACTTGCACTGGGCTGGGATGGGATTTGGGTGTTAATTTTGGGGAAAAAAATGAACTTTAGACCCTTTCTGAGGAGGTGAGTTCCCTTGCTCGTGGGGTTTGCAAAGCAAAATAGGGTTGGAGGT